GAAACAGTAGAGGGAAGTTGAATACATTTAATATGTGACTTGTTAAAATATAAGTTCTTAGCAGGAACCGTGGCACACATCTTCAATCCTAGCACTTAGGAAGCAGAGGTAAGTGGATCTCTGTAAGTTTGAGACCAGTCTGATCTACATAGCAAGTTCCAGGCCAACCAGGACTATACAGTGAGACCCTGACAACAAATTTTTAAAAATTAAATAGCATAAGCCAGTTTTAGGGCAATACTGACCCCTCTCCCCCAGGAAATACTTAGCAATGTCTAGATTCATTTTGGGCAGTTACAACAAGAGATGAGGACTACTAATGGATAGATCCCATGAACACTGCAGAACAATCTCCGATGTGCGAGTCAGCACAAAGAGTGGGCTAGCCGCACATGGCAGCAGCTCCAAGGGCAAGAAACCCTCCCCAGGCAGTTAATTGTAAGTACAAAGGGAGTGCAGGCCGATGTTACCTTGTTTACTCTGAGCTTGGCACTGTCATACAGTATAACTATGACGATATGAATAATCCATTTAAGTGTGTATGCTTCCAAATTCTTGGAAAATTGCAGCGTTGAGGGGCACAGAGGGAAATGTTGTTTATGAGGCTGATCTCAGTAATAGCTCTCAGATGGATCTAGAATGTAATGTATATTGTTAGCGTAGTGTGTCAGTGGTATCGGAAACAACCTTAGGAGTGAATGGCAATTGCTATACAAGTAGGATTTCAACCTCACTGTGGATGAAAATCACTCGGGCAGATCTGCAAAACTGAAGATGCTCAATCTAACCCCAGAGCCACTGATTTTGCCTGGGAGAGGCGGCATTTATAATAGGCGTCATGTTTCATAAACTATCCATATTATTTTAGTGGGCAGCAATGCTAGAAATCTAAACTTTCTCTGGGAACACAAATGAACTCTATTCGTTATGTTCGTTCATAAGACTTACTGCAGTCAGTGTGATAGCTCAGAAAGTTGGCTTTAGTAAAAAGTTTTCTAGGTTTGCTAAAACAAGTGGGGGACCTCACTGTTGGCTTAATTTGATGAAACGAAAGGCCAGAGCGTCCTTGACAAAATGTAGAGGAAAGAATTTAAAGACTTTGAGAGATGAGAAGGCTGGTTAAACGCATCATGTGTTTCACCCCTATATCCTGCCAGGGCCATGAAGACTTCTTTCACTTGCCAAGAAAAACAGAGAGAAAAAGGAAAAACCCAAATATTTAAAGTGCTCTACTGGCTCGCCTTTTCCTGAACTGGGAATCATGGAGAGGGAGCCGTAATAAAAATGGTATTCCTGGTCTCAGTGGGGCTGTGCAAGGCCAGCTGAGGCCTGGCCCAGGTGATGACTGTTAACAGTCTGAAGCAAAGTGGGTATTGTTTTAATAGCCAGATGCTACACTCAGGGACCCGGAAATGGCTTCAGTAGCAGAAATTTCTGACTGTGGTTAATTAATCATGGGGTCCCCAGGAATGAAATAGACAGCCAGCCAATTAAGGTGTGTCTTGATTTATTTAACCAAAGCTATTCTAGGTCTAGTGAACAGAGACCTCACTGGAGCCAATGTGCTAGAGAATTTGGAGTTCACAGACCCAGCATCACCCAGTGAAGGGGAAGCCAGTGTCTCTAAGGAAACATCCTGCTTAACACCACAGAGGCACACTGAACCTTTTGCCTTCTCCTTTCTACAGTGCCTGGCAGTTGTTAACTGAATACCTAAGCACTGAGGAAATGGAAACAAACCTGGGAAATGCCAGCTCAGAGCTGTCACTGATTCCTAGGAAGACAGCTTGTGGGGGCTGGGATAATTATGGAACACAGAGATGAGTGTTCAGAGGTTATTGCACAGTAGAATTAACACACCCACACCCACCCCGTTAAAAGGGTGGGGGTGGGGGGCAGGGTCGCATTCTCAGATCCAGCATTACTTGTTGAAGTGGGTATTTTGGGAATAGGCACGATCCCCACTGTTTCTCTTACAAAATAAGGATGGATATTTTGGAAGACCTAATAGAAGCCACTTAGCATTTTCGTTATGTGTTAAAACAGGGAGCAAACCCTGTAAGTTGTTTCCTAAGAGATAAGTACTAAAAATTAAGAGGCTCTCTATGGCTTTACCATCTGATTCTTAAATAATTAGAGAAGATTACTGGAAACAAAACCAGTAGAGACTCTAGTTATATCTGCTATTAGATGTTTTCATCTTACTAGAACCAATTACTATAGCTGTTTTTGCACTTATAATACAGGTAGTTTATAGGAATTGCCAGAAGTTTGCTATCTTTGGTAGAAGAAACGGTACATATTTTTGTTTTTTGAGATTTATTTGTTTTATTTTATGTGTATGGGTGGTTTGCCTGCATGCATGCCCATGCACCACTTGTATGCAATGCCCTCAGAGACTAGAAGAGGGCATCAGATCCCCTGAGACTAGAGTTTCAGATGGTTGTAAGCTGTGATGTCAGTGCTGGGACTTGAACCTGGGTCCTCTGGAAGATCAATCAGTCAGTGTTCTTAGTTGCTGAGCCATCTCTCCAGCCCCCAATCCCATACATCTTTATTACCCCACCGCAGGGACGCATCAGTTCCCTGACTCTAGTGTGCAATCTTGTTTGCTGGGAACTTGGGCATGCAACTATTAAATTTTGATCTGGTACAGTAGATCTTATTCTGATTATTTACAAAATAAGCAAATTTTGTCTGTCCACGTTTGTAGATCATAAGAAATGGGAGTTTAGTGGCTGCCCCAAAGGTTCAGTCAAGGTGTTCTAGGAACTGATCCTCATAATTTCTGAGTTTCAAGTATTTGAACTTAGTTCAGCAAACTCAGATACTGAATAGTCTTACTAACGCCAGGTAGGAGATAAACAGAGAGGGGTCTTTCAGTAGTTAATATTTTATTGGGAACTTCTGGCCTGAAGCTAACTCCGGAGGGACTTGTTCATCATTGGGTCCATTAGGCTTTGCTACAGGTAATGAACTGAGCACTTTCTAATTCAAACAGTCATGAAGTCCGTGTACTCTGTGCTGCAGTAGCTGCATAGATCCCATGTTCCTAAGTCATCTCCAAACTGCCTCACCTGCTTCATTTCACAAGTGCAGCCTAAGAGAATGTGGTGGGTTGAAAGAAAATGGCCTCCAGAGGAAGTGGCACTATTAGGTGATGTGGATTTGTTGGAGTAGGTATAATCTTGTTGGAGAAAGTGTGTCACTGTAGGGGTGGGCTCTGAGGTCTCCTATGCTCAAACTTGCCCAGTATGACACAGACTGCTTCTGCTGACTGGAGATCAAGATGTGGAACTCTCAGCTCCTTCTCTAGCACCATGTCTACCTGCATGCTGCCATGTCCCACCATAATGATAATGGAGTAAACATCTGAGATGTAAGCTATCCCCAATTAAATACTTTTCCTTTATAGGAGTTGCTGTGCATGTGGTATCTCTTCACAGGAATAGGAACCCGTATTAAGAGAGTTTCCTTTAAGTAAGTGATTGAGTAGATAAAACCTTAAGCCTAATTGAAAAATTAATTTTTATTGGGGGTGTGTGTATATGTGTGTGGTATGCTTGTGTGTCCATGTTTGTGTGTGTGCAGATGCCTACAGAGGCCAAAAGAAGGTGTTAGATGTTAACAGGTGGGTGGGTGTTGCTGGCTCTGCAGCTGGGGTCCTGCTGTCTCTGATCCTAGCAGCAGGGGGTGAGCAGATGCAGAGTCAACAACACAGACTCTGGGAGGTTTGCAAGCAATCCCTCTTTTATTGAACAAAGGGCTGAGGTTTTTATGTGTGGATTTTTTGGCGGGCTCTGCTCCTAGTTACTGTGGTGTTTCTTGGTTGACTCTGGGGCTGTACGTCATCACCTTCCAGTTTGGAGTTTATAGGTCAGGTTTCCTCTGGCCAGAGTGTTCTCTGTGCATGTCACAGCTCTTTCTTTGCTTAAGGCATGGCCCAGTGCTTTCAGCCTTACCTACCTCAGGTGTGAACCATCTGACATGGGTGCTGGGAAACTCGGATCCTCTGGAAAAGTGGCAAGCACTCTTGATTACTGGGCCATTCTCTAGACTCTTAAGTCTAATTTTAATATAGCTGCACACAATATGCCTGTTGCTGATGAAAGAAGACTGCTGCCTGGTTCTTAGGGAACTGAAAAATAGAAATCCTTTCAGCAGGCAGGACATGGATTTAGAAGTAGATGCTTTCCATGGGAAAAATCTGGCTACAGAGGCAGGAGAGTCTCTGTGAGTTTGAGGCCAGTCGAGTCTACATAGTGACAAGGCCAGTCAGAGTTACATGATGAAACATTGTCCTAAAAATAAAAATTTCGAGCTAGAAGTCAGGACCTGTTGTGGAATATTATTTTAAGATGCTGTGAAACATTTGCTTTAATGGTGTAAAGATGTGTTGCATTCCTTTATGTTGCATTTGTTTAACTCTGTGAAACTGTGTTAATGTGACTGTCTAAAACACCTGATGGTCTAATAAAAGAGCTGAATGTCCAATAGCAAGGCAGGAAAAAGGCTAGGCAGGGCTGGCAGGCAAAGAGAATAAATAGAAGAAGAAATCTGGGAGGAGAAAGAAGAAGGAACAAGGAGCAAGAAAAGAAGGGGCCAGCTACCCAGCAACCCAGCAACCCAGCCACCCAGCCATTCAGCCAGCCAGCCAGCCAGCCACTGAATAAGATTACAAAAGTAAAAAAAAAAGAAAAAGCCCAGAGGCAAAAGATAGTTGAGATAATTTAGGTTAAGAAAAGCTGGCAAGAAACAGGTCAAGCTAAGGCCAGGCACTTATAACTAAGAATAAGCCTCCATGTGTGATTTATTTGGGAGCTGGAAGGCAGGCCCCAAAAAAGTAAAGAGTGAAAAAAAACAACCAACAACAAGGACCTACATAGATTCCTGGGCAGGTGCTACTTGTATGGATTATCTAGAAGACAGAGAGAAGAATTAATGAAGTCAGGCATAGGAAGCTGATATGATTATAAGGTATATCTCTTAAATATTTCCAGGGCCTGAAAATTCTTGTGCCTCAAGCAAACGTTCCTCAGGTTGCCAATGAAGAATAGGCACCTAAGTCATTTCGCATGGACAGGAATACCTTTGAGGTCAGTGTTGGCCAACCATCTCATGGGCTTTGGGATAAGAGATCAAATGCTGTGGAATAATCCTTTGCACACTGTGTGAATATATGTTACTGTGATTGTTTTAATAAACAAGCTGACTGGCCAGTTGCTGAACAGGATAAAGTTAGGTGGGAAAGCCAAACTGAGAATGATGGAAAGAAGAAGGGCAGAGTCAGAAGAGATGCCAGCCAGCCACTAAGGAAGCAAGGCATATAGAAAATGAGGTAACAAGCCTTGAGCCACTTGGTGAAGCATAGATAAGAAATATGGGTTAATTTAAGTGTAAGAGTTAGCTAGTAACAAGCCTGAGCCATCAGCCAATCATTTATAAATAATATTAATCCTCTGTGTCAGTTATTTGGGAGCAGGTGGGACAGGAAAACTCTTTCTACAATCAAAAATGCAGAAGGGTAAAGTGGAAGATGGGGAGGGACATTGCAATAGACAGGAGGTTCTCAAAACCAGTTCATATAAGTACATAGAAATTCTTCAACATCCTTGATATTAGAAGAGAAAAACAGAGGCTGGGAATGTAACTCAGGGGTAGAGCACTTGCTGGGAAGCTCAAGGAACTGGGGTTGGTATTCAGCTCTGTGGTGAGAGGAAGGGCAGGCAACAAGGGGCAGAGGGGTGGAAGGTAAAAGTCCCCTAAAGACCAAAAACAAAATAAAACCCAGGCAAACAAAACACAAGGAAATTTAAAGAGAAAAGGCAGACATGGTACAAATTTTGGAGTTCATGAATAACTAGAATTGGAAGCACAGCTCGGGGTCAAGCAGTTAGCAACTGCTCTTCAGAAAATCTTGGTTTTATTTATTGGTAATTTAAAGAAATTGCAGAGATAGTAGTTTGACATGAATCATTAAGATTCTGATTTAAAGATGTGGAATATGTAGCATTAGAATAGGACTATGACTTTCATTAGAGAGGTAATCTGAATTTGGTCCCTTCTGTTCAGTTCATCAGCCACCTTTACATGAATCAAAACTGGCTCTCGCAGTGTCTAAAACTGGCAAAACCTGAGATAGCAAGAAAGGACAAAATGGACTGAATGCCTGCCATAGAGCGATTGCAGTGATTTGTCACTAGTTCTGTCATAAACAGACAGAAAAATTATAGTAAGTGGGCAAAACATAGGGGAGCTGGGCACTGGGGTGCATGAGTTCAAGTTGAGGACTCTGGAGACCCACCTGGCAATGGTGGCTAGTGTTTCTTGCTCTGTCTTACAGGCTCTCCTTTCCAAGGCACTTGCTTTTCTTGCTGTAAATCCCTACCCCCACCTGCCAATTCACACACACACACACACACACACACACACACACACACACACACACACACACACGCTTTTTACAAACCTTGTTCAAAACTCATCTCAAAATTGCTCTTTAAATTATCCTAATTATAACCTTAATTTAAACCCAGCATACTCTATACTTTAATCTTTTACTATGTGAAGACTCAGCAGTGTAGAGCTTGCACTTTGTTGATGTGTCTCTAAAACTGTGTTTTTACTTATTCCATGTGCTTTTGTACTGTTTCTTTAATCCAACTGAAAAATTGCCAGCAAGTGCCCTGATGTGTGCATTCACCAATATGCTTGTTGTTACAAATGAGATGTCAAGAATGTCTGATTTGATTTGAATCATATGGATAGGTCTGATTTGATGGATCTAAGATTTTACTGATAAATTTGAAGTTTTGTGTTTCATTTGGAGATTAAAAGCAAAAGTTTGAAATTAATTTAGTATTTTCTAATTTTTGAAAATACACATTGAATAATACTGCAAAGCAACTTTGGCCAAAAAGTTAAAATCGCAAACTTTAAAACCCAGAGTGACTGGAACCAATACAGTGAATCTTTAGGGAAATTCAATTTAACTTGAAATTCAGCAAGGTGCATGTGGCAGACATGAACCTTGTAAAAGCTATGTAGCAGATGGGTGGTACACAGCTCTAATCCCGGCATTCAGTCAGTTAGCGTGGCACATCATGAACTTCAGCCTGCCTGGACTAGATAGCAAGAGCCCGTCTTTAAAAAATTATGCCAGAAAAAAATATATATATTAAAGTCATAGAAAACTACTGAAGTTCTAATAAATAAGGGAATACAAATTAATCTCTAGTGCTACTGGTGTGTTTTTGAGCCCACAAATTGTTTCATTCTGTTAGTGCTGACACTATTCGTCACTCTCATGCCAACATTTTTCATGGAACCTTCTTGTGAACTGACCCCTTGGGTTCCAATAGATTTCATTTTGACAAATGCTGCTTTGTAATGTCACAGAAAATATTTCCCCTGGAAAAAAAACACTTTGTTTACTCCATTCATAAAAGATTTGGCAGGGCTTGATAAACTCTATTTTTTAAACAACTCTCAAATAACACATTTTTTGCTGTAGGCTTATACATTTTATCAGGTGTGTCAAAGATTCTGAGCATTATATTTTAAAAGACTTGCTCAATGACAACTCAGGAAACTGACTTATTTCACCAGCTATAAATGAAGTAATTTAGGTCTCATTTAGGATAATATTATTTTTAACTTTACAAACTTTATTGCTAAAAAATAACTTACAAATAAAATAAACAACACACATCAAAATTATTACTCCACATTTTAGTGACCTTCAATTAGAATAGCCATTCTGAAGATATAGAGGTTAACATTGAATTTTACAATTAAATTGAAATTTTACAATTTCACTACCCAATTTATGTATTTACCAAAACCAAAAACTCCATTGCAGAATTAGAACTAGAACAACTAGCTTTATAACCTCTTTCATAACTTGTGTCCATATCTGCATCCAGTCCCTCCTCTGGAGTAATAATTTTTAAAATGATTATTAAACATAATTTATATGATAAATTACAGATTTTGAATGGACTCATTGTTGGCAAAAGATTATGCAGAGGAATTCCATATTGATAGGAATATAGACAATCTTAGACAATTAATAAATGTATTAGAGTTCTTCAGAGAAACAGAACTAATAAGATTAATATGTGTGTGAGTGTGTGTATATATGTGTGTGTGTAAGTGTGCATGCACATGTGATAATGTGTGTGAGTGTGTGTATTTGTGTGAGTAGAGTATGTGCATGCATGTGTGAGTATGAGAATGTGAGTGTGTGTGTGTTCTGAGGGCTTAGTGTGTGACTATGTGTATGAGTACGTAAATGAATTTATGTTTGTGTGTGTATAATTTATTAATTCAGCTTACTTTAAAATATTAACAACAGGTGAGGTTTATAGAAACAAGAGGCTCCTAGCAGGACACAGAGACAATTTTTGAGAAAATTAGACTTTGTCTGTGTCTTGTCACCTGGTTTAGGAGGAGCACAGCCAGCTAGCCTGATAAAACCACAGCTGCCCTGTTCCAGGTAGTGCACATAGGCATTCATGCTAGCTACTTCTTGCTGAGCCGACTAGGAGTCTGCCAGTGCACCTGGTGATAGGTGATGCACGACCATCAGAATGCTGGGGGTCAATGACAAAGAGGCAGCACAGCTAAGGGAGTCTCCATCTGCCAATGGGAAATCAGGAGGGGGTATATAGGTTCACCCCCATATCTGTAGTAAATTAGTAGGCTGCTTGCTTCTCACCCAACTCCCAGTGTCTGTGTCAGTAACGCTGTTCTTTCTTACCCACTCCCGCAAGGGGTGTCCAGATAGTTCAGCCTGCAACACCCTGGCATAGAGGACCTCAGGGCCCAGGGCTTTAAAACAACTTAAAATTAACAACTATGCATACAGACTACCATCCAAAGTTATAAACTATTTACTTAATTTGTTGCTGTTGAAATGGACTTTTATGTCCTTTCAGCTATCTTAAAATACTTTAAAACTTAACTTTAAGTCCAGAAATTCTAGGAATATTGCTTCCTGTTTCTATTTTATGAGTGTGGACACTGTTTTGTTTTTATTTAACATTTAAGAAACCATCACAAAGGACATATTTTTATTACATTTATTTACAGAGGGAGCATGTGTGTCTCAGTATGCACATGGAGGTCACAGCACTATTTACATGGATTGGTTCTCACCTTTTACCATATGGGTCCTATAAATCCAATTCAGAAATCAGACTTATTGGCAAGTCCCTTACCCTCTAAGCCATCTCTCAGATCCATACAAAGGACATTTTTAGTGCCACTTACTAACAGGAGATGTTCTATAAGCAGTGTCTTATTTTTGCAAGAATATTATCTCTCTCTGTCGATGAATAGGTCAATTTCTGTTGCTCTGTATAAGGGTTAGGCAGGAATTCTGTTGAGATGGTCTGATGAAATAGTCTGATTATATTGACTCTAAATGTAAAGCTTTGGGAATCAGACTATTGATATAGATAAGATGCCGTTCTGTATATATCTATATCTGATATAGATAGATGTCATTCTGTATGCTGTGAATATGTGTTGCTCTGATTGGTTGATAAACAAAATTTTGATTGTCCAGTAGCCAGGCAGGAAATATAGGTGGGGCAAGTAGAGAGGAGAATTCTGGGAAGAGGAGGGCTGAGTCAGGCGTTGCCGGCCAGACATAGAGGAAGCAAGATGACAAGGCAGAACTGAGAAAAAGTACCAAGCCACGTGGCTAAACATAGATAAGAATTATTGGTTAATTTAAGTGTAAGAGCTAGTCAATAATAAGCCTTAGTTAATGGCCAAGCAGTTATAATTAATATAAGCTTCTGAGTGATTATTTTATAAGTAGGCCACAGGACTGCTGGGGCCTGGCAGGACCAGAAAAACTTCCAACTACATTTGGTGTACCAATGCAGGGCTCTCAAATTTCCATAAGGCCTAAAAGAGTTTAAAAAGGACTTCTAAACACATAGTAATAGAGCCCAAAACAGCTTTTTACTTCATGTCTCATGCAGGTCGAGATACAGATATGCCAAGGTACAGAGACACCATGCATGCAGACTTGAGCTACAGAATGGCAGGTTCATGGTGTATGGTCTTGAGTGCAGCATGGTGG